AGGAGTAAAAACGGGGTTTATTTAGACCAGCATGCTGGGGCTCCGCAGCATACCCCCAAAACGGGCAGTGGCTGAGAGCCCCGAACTTCTTCAAAGGGGATCTTATATAGGCCTTCACTGGCCGTTACAGCAAAGCCCGCACATTTCATAGCCAATAGATTTGTAACAACATATACTTTCTTAACCAATCCATTTAAAAGTACCTCACTCCTTAGCCTATAGATTCAAAGATCAGCATTTACGTACATCGATTGTCAGCACAAGCAAGGTTATAGCTGGAATCATTAAGCCTTAGGTAATCTCCCTTGACCATCCTCGTTTTGAGTTACCTGAGTCTGCAGGGTGCTTTAGTGAGACAATACATTCCAGGAAAGGGCAATTTCCCCCAACCACCCGCATCCTGAGTTATCCTTTACTCAAATCTGCAGGGTGCTTTACTGAGACAATACATTTCAGGGACAGTAAATCACTTTCCAAGTCCCCTCTCCCCCAGGTGCAAAGCAGCCAAGCAGTTTTACAGAAAGCAATGTTGCAAGTTAGCTAAAGTACACAAAAATTTGATGCCCTAATATGGATTCTTTCAGGCCTAGCTCCTGCCTTTTGTGAGATTCCCATCAGCCCTGAAATTTCTGTTTGGGGGTCACTCCGAGCTCCCTGAAAGCAGCACTGCTCAGAGTGACCATTCACCCAAAGTTTCTCTTTCATGTTTTCTCCTGGGGGCTGGGGACATGGCTCAGCAGTGCAGCTCCTGCCTTACGTGAGCAAGGCCCTGGGTTCGATTCCTAGCCCAGCACCCCCCCACCCCCCGATAAAACCAAGGGATATGCTAATGTTTCTAGGTGGCACTCAGTGTAGGATGGATTTTATGGAATTGCCTTGCCAGGTCAAACGGTCTGTGCACTTTTTATTCTAATTGATCTTACTAGACTTAGATCTTGACTTTTTTGTAAGTAAATTAAATTTTTAAAATTAAAATAAAAAAAGATTCTCCAGGGCAGCTGAAACTTTTTATTTCCTTTGTAGGCTGCCACCTCCGTCCTCCTCTGTAAGGGTCAAAATTCAGTGCCAGAGGAAGCTGCAGAGAGTGCCATCTGCAGACCGGCGATGTGTTTGCAGGCTGCAGGGCCTCTGTGCTGCCTTCCATGGCTTCCAGGCAGGCTGGTCAGTGCAGCCAGTGGGCATTTGTAAGAGAATCTTCCCAGATGGGATGAGCCTCAAGACCTGACTTCCTGGCCTCCACCCTCCAAGTTGGGCAGAGTTGGGCAGTGCCCCTGCAGCCCTCGAGTCCTCTTTGCAGGCTGAGGATAGGAGGTCTCTCTGTCACCCACTCATTTGTACCAGCTGCGCCCCAAGTTCCTGCTAAATCCTTCTCATTGGATGTCCTCTGCATCCCTCCACCACAGACGTTGCCCTCCCTGCCCTATTCCCAGTCCCCTCAATGGCATGTTTCCAATGAAGACCAGTTCTCATCTTGTTTCCATTGTCCTTGGGTATTCCTTATTCCACCGCTGTTTCTTTACATCCCACATACGAGAGAGATCATTCTGTGTCCATCTCTCTCCCTCGGACTAACTTCTCTTCTCTCAGCATGATACTCTCCAGGTCCCTACATATAACGGCAAATGGCATGACTTTCTCTTTTCTTTCTTTCTTTCTTTCTTTCTTTCTTTCTTTCTTTCCTTTTTTTTTCTTTTTGGGTCACACCTGGCAATGCACAGGGGTTACTCCTGGCTCTGCACTCAGGAATTACTCCTGGCAGTGCTCTGGGGACCGTATGGGATGCTGGGAATAGAACCCAGGTCGGCCGCATGCAAGGCAAGTACCCTACCCACTGTGCTATTGCTCCAGCCCCGACTTTCTCTTTTCTTATGGCTGAGTAATCTTCCATGGTGTCTGTGTACCATCTATTCTTGGACACTTGGGTTGTTTCCAGATTTTGGTTGTTGTAGATTTAATTGAAAGGAACATATGGTGTTCAAATGTCTTTTCTCTATCTTGTTTCTGAGACATGGGGTTAGTGGATCAAATAGAAGCTCCATTCCATTCCTAGATTTTCTAGGAATTTCCATATTGTTTTCCTGGAAGTCTGAACCAGTTGAAATGTTCTTATTTCTTAAACTCTTCATACTGTCTCTTCTTTGAGAGAGAACCAGGACAGAGGGAGAAAAGGAAAGAGGAAGAAGGGAAGGAAGAAAGGAAAAGAAGAGCAAAAGGGGAAAGGAGGGAAGGGGAGGATATAGAAGGGGACGGAACGGAGAGAAGGAAAAGGAAGGGAAGGGAAGAAGGAAGGAAGGAAGGAAGGAAGGAAGGAAGGAAGGAAGGAAGGAAGGAAGGAAGAAGGAAGGAAGGAAGGAGGAAGGAAGGAAGGAAGGAAGATTGAACATGGGTTGAGTGAGACATCCATGGGGCTGGGAAGCCGTGGATGGTGGCCGTGACCCAGCAGTACCATCTTCCTGAGATTCTAAAATCCCTGACCCAACCTGTCACTCCCACCTAAGTCAGCATTGGCCAGCCGCGGGCATGGTTTCACAACCTCCTGTCTCTCACACAAGTCATTATTGTAATAAAGGCAGGAAAGTCTGCGCCTTTTCCCAGAGCAGGGTCCGAGGGGGTAGAGGCTGCGTTGGCCAGAGCCATAGGACAGCAGGCAGGGCATTTGCCTTGCAGAAGGCTGACCTGGATTTGATCCCCCGCACCCCAAGCCCCACCAGGAGTGACCCCTGAGCACAGAGCCAGGAGTAAGGCCTGAGCACTACCTGAAGACAGAAAAGGAAAAAAAGAGCCTAGCTGTCCCTCCTGGGGGTTCTCTGAGCATCGCATCATCTTCCTCAGCAGGCTCTGTGCAGGGACTCCACCAGTCTTCCTCGGGCCCTTCACCCTCACCCCTACTGCCTCGCTATCTCCTGCCCGCCCCTCTCCTTCACCAGCCAACCAGGAAGGCAGTGCTGCCGTGGTGAGGGCTGGGAGCTCGGGGGACAAACCTGGACTGTCCTCCACCTGGTTCTGTGGAACCAACTGGCCCCACACATGGGGCCATATAACAGGAACCAGCCAAGTCAGGGCTCAAGTCTAGCCATTAGCTCAGCGCCATGGGCCAGCCTCCACCGGGTGTCCCGTGGCTAGGGCACAGCCGTGATGGGTCTTAGCATCCGGGTGACTGTCCAGGCTGTTCCACTGGCCTGCAGGTGGTGGCCTCCCAAGAGCTTGCTCGTAAAAGCCCCAAGGCTTCCAGAGGTCTCTCTCCGAACTCTGTGGGCCTATTGGTCAGAGCAAGTCTGAGGGTGGGCAAGAGCTCCCCTCTACCGATCAGAGAAGCTGCAAAGTGTGCGGCTATTAGGGACAGGTGGGCCCCCTGGGACTGGACGAACATCAGATTTGCATCAAATTGGTAGGAAAAAATAACAAATCCGGTTACATCCCATGGAAAATCTCTGAGGATGTAGCTTTTGGTTGGTTGGTTTTTCATTGGGGCACACCCAGCTGAGCTCAAGAGTCACTCCTGGTGAGGTTTAACGGTCATATAGGGTGCAGGTGATCAAACCTGGGTCGGCCGCATGCAAGGCAAGTGCCCGACCCACAGTGCTAGCACTCTGGCCCCTATAGGGGGGTCGATTCTAAAGCCAGTGGAGTAAAACAACGGAGCTAGCTAGATGAGCTAGATCGATGAACTCATCAATCGATACATAGATTTCTTCCTAACCCCCCCTCCCCCACGCCCATGTTGGAAAGGGCTGGGCCCCTGAGATGACCCTGGGCTGGTGAGGGAGGGAGGGCGTCAGCCTGAACCCCCTGCAATCAGGCAGGAACAGCTGGAGAGTTGCCCTGGCTGGGGGTTTAGTCCCGGCGGGTTCACCCTCTTCTCAGCACTGGGCGGCGGGCGGCAGATGGGGGTTAGGGGGTCCAGGGGGATCCGGTGGGTGGACCCCAGGCAGTGAGCTACACCTTACACTTCCTAGGCCAGCCTTTCCCGTCGACCCCCAGGGAACAAGTCGCCCCAAAGACCCACAGTGCCAGCCTGAGCCCCTGCCCGCTGCCAGGCTCCAGGGGTGAAAGGCAAGGCGGAGGACACCTGCTCCCTGCATCCCTCCCCCACTGGCCTCCGTGCTGCGGGGAGGGAGAAAAGGGGAGGCAGGAGCGTCCCTGAGGGGAAGGAAATGTCCCGGCTGTCACCCAGGCTGTGATTTGTGCCAACGAAAGCAATTTAAAAGAGATATTTCATCTTTAATAGCGGGTCAAAAAGTCACCCCCAGGATGATGTCACCGCGAGCTGGCACAGACAAGAGGTTTGAAGGCGCAGGCAGGTGGGAAAGGAGCGAGGTCTCGATGGGGGCGGGGCTCTCACGGGAGGTGGCGGGACCGAAAGGAACGGGACAAGCGGCAGATGGAAACAATGGGCGACCCAGCCCCGCGGGGCGGCTTCCTGGCAGGCGGCGGGCGCGCTCCGGAAGCGGCGCCGGGAAAGGCCAAGGTCAGAGGCCTGAGCTCTGGCGACCCTGGACGGTCCGCGCCCCAAGGCCCCAAGGGCTGTGCGTGGAGAACGTCCACTCCCCACGTCTCGGAACAGCCCGGACGGCGCTGGGGGAGGGATGCGGCGAGCACCCGACTCTCCCGGCCCGGAGTTGAGCCGCGCCCCCCACCCCAGTGCCCCACCGACCGGGGCCTCCCATTCGCCTGGCCGGGCAGCAGACAAAGACCCTCAAGTCAAGCTCCGGGCCCCCTCCTGCACCCCGAGAGGCCTGTTCCGGTCCTCCAGAGGCCGCAAAGCAGGAGAAGTTGGGGGACCATGGCGACCTCCCGCGGGTACCGAGTTTCTGGGCCGCCCAGAGCCCCCGCGCGCACGCCGAGCGCCCCGGGCCCGGCCCCGAGCGCGCAGGGACCCCCCGAGACGCCGCGGCGCGCCCCGCCCGGCCTGACCTGGGGCCGCAGCCCCGCCACGCCCCCGGGGGGAGGAGCGACGCCCGCGAGGACCCTCCCTCGGGCTTCGTCGGCGCGGAGTCCCGCGGGCGCCGCCCCCAGCCCCCGGCCCCCGAGGGCGCGCAGTTCCGGACCGCCCCCCGCCCCGACAGCCTAGCCAGCCTCCCGCTCGCGGCCGTCCAGCCCCAGCAGCGCCCCGAAATGCCGGTCGATTTCTCCGGGTACTGGAAGATGCTGAGCAATGAGAATTTCGAGGAGTACCTGCGCGCGCTCGGTAAGCCCCCCGCCGCGCCGTTGGGGTCCGACGACCCCCATGCCTGGCCCGACTCGGAGCGCGCAGCCACCGCGGGGCAGGAGGTGCAGGGAGCAGAAAGGCGACCCCCCCCAGGCTGGGGGCGTTAGGGGTGATCCGTGCCAAGTGTCCCGGGGTGGCGCGAGGCGCGGGTAAGTTCCTTCGGAGAGCTGGGTTTGCTTTGCTCTTGTTTGTGCTTAACGAGTTAGGCTCAGGGCAGAACACCGAGAGAGAAAGGAAAGAAAGACGGAAAAAGAGAGAGGAAAGAAAGAAGGAAGGAAAGGAGTTAGCTTAAGGGTAGAGAGAGAAGAGGAAAGAAGAAAAGAAGGGAAAGGATGAGTTGGCGTTAGGGCAGAAAAGTGGGAGAGTTAGCTTAAAGGGAGAAAACGAAATAAAGAGAAGGAAGGAAGGAGAGAATCCAAAGGAGAGGAGCTGGCCGGAGGGGTGTGCGCAGCGGGAACCCCAAGTCCCTGCCCAGGAGGAGCGGACCCCAGGCCTCACCTGGAGAGCAGTTTCCTGAGTTTTCTCGCCTCCCGGCAGATGTCAACGTGGCTTTGCGCAAAATCGCCAACTTGCTGAAGCCAGACAAAGAAATCGTGCAGGAGGGCGAGCACATGATCATCCGCACGCTGAGCACCTTCCGCAACTACATCATGGACTTCCAGGTGGGCACGGAGTTCGAGGAGGACCTGACGGGCATCGACGACCGCAAGTGCATGGTGAGCTGCTGCCCAGCACCGCTGACCAAAGGCTGGGCTGGTTCCCCGAGGCCCGCGAAAGGAACTCACGGGTCCTGGGGCTCCCAGGTCCCCCGACGGACAGCTCGGGCCCTCCCGGGTCCTCCCGCGTTCACGCTCCGAGTGGTCCTGTGTGGTGAGCCACGTGCTCCCGTGCGCTCGTCCCCGCGCCCACCTGTGCCGTGCCCACCTGTGCCGGGAGAGCAGACGCCCACTTTCCCGACCAGCACAGGCTCCCAGACACACCTGCCGCCCAGCAGGCTGACCGGAAGTCGGGGCGTCGGCGCTCTGAGTCCGCGCAGGGGCCGCCCGAGATGGGAGCGGAGGGCCCAGCGCGCGGGGAGCCCCATCACTGTGCCGGCACCCATGTGGTGTGTCCGCGTCCCCGCCTGCGTCTTGTGCCAAACCTGGGCCTGGCTCCCGGACCATCCCCCAGTGCCTCTGCCGAATCTCTTTTGAAACTCCGGCCAGCGCGGCCTGGAATCAGTGCCTTTGCAGCCTTGACCTCGGCAGGCGGCCGTGCGGGTTGGAGGGAACGAGCAGAGTCCGGCCTGGGTGGGAATGTGGTGACCGAGACCCCAATTAGCGCTGCCCCAGCGGGCTCCCCCGGAAAGCCAGCCCCTCCCTCGGCATTCTGGGGCTGGGGGGGGGCGGGGCGGATGTCAGGGGGCTTGGGAGGAGGTCAGGGTCGCACACTTGGCGGGCTGCCTGCTTCTGCAGGCTGCGCCCTTCCCCCGCGTCCCTCGTCCCGCGGACCTCACTGCCCCGGTCAATGTTTTCCACAACCCAGAGAGGGAGGGATTAACCTCACATGACTCCCTGACTGGGGCTGTGGCCAGGGGAGACTTGTGCCGCATGGACCTCGAACCCTTGACTGGGCTTGCCCAGTCTGGCTCTTCTGTGTGGGGTGGAGGAGGGGGTCTTTGCAGCGGTGGCTTGAAAACAACACCAAGAGTGAGCTTGGAGCAGGGAGATGGCCCAGCCGGTTGGGGTGCAGGCCCCTGGAGGCTCCGGCCTCACATGAGTAGGACGGTGTGGGAGGGGACAGTGATGCGGGGGACAGGGAGACCCCAGGGGGTGACCCCAAGGAGGGGGCGGGAGCACCTACACACACTGTCAGGAAATGCCAGGCTGCTTATAAGTCAGCTGTGGGGCTCACAATGGGATGTGCTGTGTCCACTGTCGACTGCCCAGACTCCCCCGCCTCCCCGGCCCACTGGGGTGCTCCCCAAGCACATCACTGTGTTTGGGGCACCGCACCCCCTGGAATGTGCTGGCCCGGACAGGCTAACGGTTTTCCCCGGTCTCTTCCCATACCGGAAATGGTTGTCAGTGATCCTTTAATCCGCATTCCTCACCAGGTCAGCCCCTTTCCCCTCCATTCAAAGCTTCTTTTAAACTCGCTCCCCTTGACCCCCGTGTCAGTGCCCACACAAGGACCCCTGCTGAGAAGCACGGCTGTGGGGCGGGACCCTGGGAGGGTGTCCTCTGTAGCGCAGCTGAGTGAGTTGGGGTTCAGCTGCTCTACCCCTCACTTGTGCCTACCACTGCCCCAGGCGCGGGGACCCACTGAGGGTCCCAGCCTTTGAGGTGGAGACGGACGCTGGTCTGAACCCAGTGGAGTGGATGGTGACCTGACCAGGCCCCACAAGGGGCTCCCAGGGGTCTTTGGAGGAGGCAACTTCGGCATTGATTGGCAGCAGGACGGGGCAGGAGACTGACCCATCAGACTAAGTCCAGTGGAGGCGGGTACATGGCCACCTTTGTTCCTAGATCCAGCGTTGGACCGTGCATGGGAGGGGTACCCCCTGGGGTCCCTGCACCCCTCAGCTGAGCTCTGCAGGGCTTCCGGCCCTCGGTTGCTTAGGGCCTCAGGCAGACAGTATGTGCTTGGCCTGTGGCTGGTGGCTGACCGCCTGGCAGCGTCCTTCCTGCAGGCTGCCCGGCAGCCCGGGGAGACAGGGGTGCGCAGGGCACCTGGGACACTAGGATCGCAGTAACTACCAGCCGGAACTTGTGGGTGGAGCACCGAGGGGCTCAGGGTCAGAGCCCGCTTTTTCTGAGGCCTCCAGGGTTCCCAGGACCCTGGGGAAGGTGGAAAGACACAGCTGGGAGGGCACAAAGGGGCGAGGGGGTGGGCACGGCCCAGGGTGCAGTAATGGGAGTGGGATCAGTGATCAGGGAAGGCTTCCAGGAGGGGGTGTCAGCTGCCCCAGTGGAATAAGTGCTCCAAGAACAATTAGCGTGGATGGGGGGTTGGGGCACTCAGATATTTCACCTCAGAATTGTCATGACTCATTTCTCAGTCATATGGGCACAGATTTGGCAGGGGAGTGGGGGAGGTTTTTTTTTTAAATGAACCACCAGCGATGCTTAGAGTTACTCCTGGCTCTGCACTCAGGAATCACTCCTGGTGGTGCTCAGAGAACCATATGCAATGCCGGGGATCAAACTCTGGTCGACCATTTTGCTCGAGCAATTTGCTCGAGCGGGCCCAGTAACGTCTCCATTGGAGACTTTGTTGTTACTGTGTCTGGCATATCGAATACTCTCGGTAGCTTGCCGGGCTCTAATGCCCTCCCCGCTGTGCTGTAACTCCAGCCCGATCACGATCACGACGACCATCCTGTTAATTCGGATTGCCTCGAGCAGGCCCCAGTAACGTCTCCTTCGTCCTAGCCCTGAGATTTTTTAAAAAGTGCCATATTCAAGGCTCTTTCAGAGTTAGGAGAATGAGACCCTTCATTGTTGCTGGTATTTGGCATATTGGGTACGCCACGGGGAGTTTGCCAGACTCTGCTGTGTGGGCAGGTTACGCTCCAGCCCAGGGCACAGTTTCTTTAAGTTTCACATAACCATCCCTTCCCACTTTTTCGCCAAAAAACTGTGTCCTAAGCTTTGCAGTGACCATACAAGGACTTCTGTTGAGGCAGTTGCAGGCGGCACCCACGGGCACAGAGGCCGGAGAGGCCAGCGGGAGGGAGTTTGGAGAGGAGCTGGGTCCCTCCCTCACCTCAGTGTGGTGTGCTCAGGGGGTTAGGGGTAAGGACCGTTCAGGGAGTGACCCCAATACCATTCACAGAGCAGCTCCAAGAACCTCTCTGACTTGTCGTCAGGTGGACCTCAGCTCAACAGGTGCCTTGAATTTGTACCTGGCTATGAATTCAGTGCTGTTGGTTTAGGGGGGGCCTACCCCCAGTGCTATTTTGAGTCCTCCTGCCCATTTCACGGATGGGAAAGAGTGAAGGACACTTCTCACCGCAGGCCAGCCAGCTGCGAGCACTGGCCCGACTCTTACTGGGTTCTGGGAGCTGGGGGTGCTGGCTGGTCCTCTGAGGCCCCCTGCCTCCGGGACCCGCACTGAGTGGGTGGGACCTCACCTGTTAGTACCGTCTGCACCCCAACTTGTTTCCTGCAGTCGGGGTTTGGGGTGATGGTCACTTGGTTCCCAGAGCACAGCCAGCGGTCCGGGTTTTCACAAATCCACCACGTGGCTGGAGCCCCTGAATCTGGGAGCCATGGTCTGTGTATCTGTATAAAACGAGGGGGCCGAGGGAACGGAGTGGGGGGCCTAGAGAAACCACATCTGTCATCTACCCACAGAGAGCACAGTCAAGGCCTCGAGGCCCCAGCAGGCTGAGGGTGGGGGCTCTCTGTGCCAGACTTCCCGGGAATCACTCGGGCTCAGCAACAGGCTGAGGCTGAGGGACCATTTGTCATCCCGCGGGGGCCCCCCAGCCTGGCAGGTTTGTCTCCCAGGAGGCGGCTTTGTTCTCAGGGGCCTGGTGCCTCCTCCCTGGGCTGAGGCCCGGCTTTCCTGGCCAGCCCTGAACTCAGGCTGACCCCTCCATAGCCCGCCTTCCGGCTCAGCCCCCTCCGTGGCTTTCTTTGTTTCTATTATAAAAGGAGCAGGAATTCAAATAGCCCAGGCTGACAGGTCCTGGTGTCCCTCCTCCCTGGGCCCCTGCCCACCGCCCAGTTCCTGCCCCTGCCCAGACCCTCCCCGCCGCAAGGCTCTCAGAGCAGAGGTGACCGTTTTGCTCCGGATCTTACCTAAACTCCCAACAAAGGAAAGAGGGAAAGAGGGAGGGAAGGAGGGAAGAAGAGGAAGGAGAGAAGGAAGAAAGCCGTGGCTTTTCCCTGCATGCGTTTTCACTCGACGGTGTTTCGTAGGAATCGTCGCAGATTTTTATTGTTCTTTAATGTTTCACTCTGTTCCCGTATCACTTCCTTCCATCCTCCCAGCCATCCAGTAATATATGCTCCCATTGAAATCTGCCAAGCTGCCATTCACACTTTGGTTTGAAGGCTTGTCGCTTTCTGGTCCTATTCTTTTTTTTTTTTTCAATTTATTTATTGAATCACCATGAGAACAGTTACAATGCTTTCATTTTTGAGTCTCAGTCATACAATGATCAAACACCCATCCCTTCACCAGTGCACATTCTTCACCACCAAAAACCCCAGTGTACCCCCATCCCATCCTACCCCTGCCTGGGTGGCAGAAAACTTCCACTTTACTCTCTCTCTCTCTACTTTGATTACATTTAATATTTCAACACCAGTCCCACCACTATTATTTGGAAGTTTCCCCCATACTCAGACCTGCCGAAAAGGCAATGTTAGTTTATTTTGTATTGCTGGTTATGAGTCACATATGATGTCACACGGCTGCAAGAGCTGCCGTGCGGTTTTGGAATTCTAAAATTTTAACACTTAGGGTCTGGAGAGATTTCTCCTGGTCCTATTCTCGGCTCATTTGAGAGTGATGGGGGCTCTTGTTTCTGGAAATCCGTCGCCAGCAACAGACTTAGCTTCCCGGCCCTACAACGGCCACCACCATCAGACAGGGTCCATCTGAGGGCAGACGCACACGGAGTCTCCCTCAGGACTCAGACCTTTGAAATCTATCTGAGGGTTATGAGAATAAGTTCCCAAAGTCACTCTCAGGTGTCTCACTGGTGCGTTAAATTTGGGGGCTT